ACACACACACATACCCCACCCCACCCCACACACATCCTTTAGGATTTTGGTTTCAAGAACTTTGTTTCCCTAACTGTTTGCGAGATATAAAATGATCTGGAAATGTAGCAAAACAAAGCCAAGCCTAGGTAAAGGAAATGATTGCTATATTTATTTTTGAAGCTTGAAGGAGAGGTCCAAAATTATCCAAAATGCATCCAATAGTGGCCATGCTTGTAAAAGGAGCAAAAGGCTGGGATTCCTTGTTTTGAGCAACATACTAAATAAACACTCCCTACCTGATTTGTTTAATAGTCATATCAGCAGAGAAGGGCAGAATAGGCGTGAACAGGCCATGTACACTAGCATGGAGTTCCCCCCCCCAATAAGCCAGGATTCTTTAGAATCCTGGTTTATCGTTCCATGAGAATGCAGTCAGTATCTTTTCCTTGGTGAACGGTGCTGGCAGGGTAAGCAAGCTGCTGGCTCGTCTTAAGTGGTTTCTGGAGGAAGCAAGAATCCCTGCAGTGCTTCTTGCTTCCCTGTGGATTGGGGATTTTTGTTCACTGCTTGGTGGTCTAGCTAAGCTAATATGTAGCATTTATGTGATTAGCATTTTAAAAGTTGTTTGGCATTAGGAAAACAAGAAAAAATATTTAGCTTTCATTTGATGTAACTCTGCTGGGTTTTTGTTTCGTTTGTTTTAGAAAAAACAGAAAGTGAATTAAAGGTGAAGGAAGAAAAGGAGGAGACTAAAGAGGAGCCGTCGAAGCGATTGGAAAACCTTCCTTCTCTTACAATCCCGGAGGAGGAAAACAGGATAAAATTAGAAAGAGTGGAAGAGAGAGAAATCATAAAACTGCCTGTTATAGTGAAATTAGAAAAAAGTTTGGAAAACAATGGGGAAGCGCAGATTACCAAAGAAGAAAATGACTCTTTTAAGGAAAACGTGAAGCCTGTTAAAGTGGATGTGAAGGAGAATAAGCTAGAGCCAAAAGACTTGAAAGATGTAAATAGCAACGCAGAGAAAACTGTTCATGAGCCCGAGAGGATAGATTTCTGTGTCAGTGTCAAAACTCCCCAGGAAGTGGTGGACAGAACAGCAGAAGAGAGTGAAAAACTGAAAAATGATCAACAGGCAAAAATTCCACTGAAAAAACGGGAGATCAAGTTGACGGATGATTACGACAGTCCGCTCAAAGGACCCCTACGGAAGTGTGTTACCCCAACCAAGGATGTTTTGAAGGAAGAAGGGAAACCAGAGGAAGAGACATTTAAGAGAGTTCCTACAATTACTGATGGGAAATTCCTTGTTAACGGGGAGCTTGGTAGTGAGAAAATAATTCCAAATAACAAGTTAGAACATTCCCCCAGTCCCAAGGAAGACACCGCCAGCCTTCCTAGAGAGAAAAATGGAGTGAGTGGGCAGAAAACATCAGAGACTGTTAGCACAATCATAAGGTCCAGTGATGTTGAGAAACACATTTTGCATGCAGGGAAGGAGGTGGCTGGTGTGATCGCCGAGGTTCCTCATCCGAAAGTGCCTTTAAAAGGAGACATTGATTCTAAGCAAAAGGGGAACTTGCTTGAGAAAGAGCATTCAGAGGGGACTGTACAGACAGTGTCAAAAACAGAAGGTTGCCTCAATAAACCCGAAGAATCCAGTAGAAAAGATGACAGCCTGCCAACTTCCAAGGAGTATCTAGATAAACCCTTTAAGGAATCTTCCCCAAAGGGACTGCTAACTCCAACAGACGAGGAAGGCTTGGAAAATAAAAATCAGCCAATAGAGAAGCTGGGTGTGCCAAGAGCAGAGGCAACTCCATCCCCTGCTCCTGTCGTCCCCTCTGAGGAACCTTTGACGGCAAAAGCAGAGTCCGACCCTCAAAGCACACTCCCCGACAAAATCAAAAGGCAGGAGGAACGGGTCTCTGATACTCTGAAGGACGCTGAAGCTGAAGAGAAAGAGACACCCAAAGCAGGCAGCCTCCAAAATTCTGTCGAGGAAACCGCAGAGACTAAGAAAGAGCCTGTGAAAAGCAAGTGTAAATACAAGTTGGTTCCTGAAGAGGAAAGCTCTCTAACAGAGAATCGGGAAATCACCTCCGAAAGGCAGAAAGAGGGGATCAAGCTGACAATCAGAATATCAAGTAGAAAGAAAACGGAGCCCTCTCCAAAGCCCCCGAATGCAGCAGGTGAGAAGGAGGAAGAGGCGGCCAACGTTGGTCGGGTTCTAAGGCGGTCGCCCCGGATATCTAAGCCTACTCCTAAGGTCGTCGAGACCCGGGATCAGAAGCCTGAGAAAAAACGCGAAGAGGAGGAGAAGCCAGCAGCAGCCCAAAAGCAGGAGAAAAAAGAGGACTCGAAGAAGCAAGACAGGGAGATGAATTCTAAGTCAAGCAAGGTAAACTACTCAGATATGAATTGTTTTGCATTGACTGTGCTTTATCAAGACAGTTCAACTTTCACGTTCTACCTACATATTACATCATTCTCTATACTGTATATTGTATTACTTTTATAAAATTGCTCAGTTTGCAGGACTTACTATGTACCCAGTATTTATTTTTACAGAAGTCTGATAGTTTCATGCAGAACATTCTGCCTAAACTTCTTGAGTCCGTTTTCTCCAACTTGGTGTCCTTCAGATGTTTTGGACTATAGCTCCCATCATTCCAGGTTGTTGGCCATGCAGACTGAGGCTCATGGGGCTTCGATCCAGAACATCTTGAAGGTGCAAGATTAGGGAAGCGGCACTGAGTTGTTGTGGAGCTATAGCCAAAACTCTTGGCAGATGAAGAAAGCTTAAAGCAAGCAAGGGTATACGGCTGCAGACATTTGATGATAAATTGATTCACTGGATCCCTAACAGTGTAGCTTTTTTGCATGTTTACTTGGGAGTCATTTCCAAACACTTTTTAAAGGCATGATCTTATGCGTGTTTACTCTCCTCTCTTTTTCCTCTCCATAAATACAGTAATGCAAATCCCCTGGCTTTTCTGCCCGTCCTTGCTGGCGCAATCTAATTGTGTGTAGCCCCACCTATCTGGTTGGTGAGGACCACTCTAGGCGGCTAACAACAATAATTGTGTGTAAAGCAGGTAAAGAATATGGCAGGCTTGGTATATTAGAAGGAATTAAGCTTTATCTTATATAAGGAATGAGCATATCACACTCTGTCGATCATATTATTGTCAGAATGTAAACACAGTACTCCTTCCCCAGGCATTGCTTAAGAAAATGTTGAAAACTATACAAGCATCTTGGGCGTTTCAGTTACAGCAGTAAGGAAATACGATTACATTCCCAAATACAGCTAACTTACAGTTCAGGTTACCAGGGATGGGGACTGGAGTCATAGGACTTGCTGGGAGGTTGGACTTAAGTCTCACTGGTGACTCAGCTCGGGTTCCCCCCCCCCCCAATAACTCGAACTTGTCTTACGACTGAAAACTCACCCACCTTTACCTTTTTTTTCCCCCTGGGGAAAATCTTGTTCTTAAGAGGGACTCAGACTTGGATCTTAGCACTCAGGACATGGTACCAAAGACATGGGACTCAGACCCCAAAACTTGCCTACATTCCTGCTAGTTACTTATTCCCATCTGTCTTCTCCTGGTTCTTCATAGACTGCCGCCATAGCTCTGGTGGCAGACCCACCTGTCCACCAGTCCTCTCCACTACACTGCCAGAGCAGAAGACGTAAACATCTCCATCTGCTTAAAGTTCTCTGAATTGAGCTTGATCAGTTAGTACATTTTAGTTCTTGGCAGCAACAGCAGCATGACAGATGTGGCTTCTCTGTTTCACGGTGTAAACCCCCTTCCTGGCAAAAAGCCCACTTATAAGTTGAAGTTCTGGTGAATAGTAGGATTGTGGTGCAGAAGAAATGGGATCTCTGTCCACCATGGTTACGAACCCAGTATTCCATAATGTTTGCGAAACACTAAGCTCATATGGGCGTAATAGCTATGGCTTAGCTTTGTGGGAATGAGCTGTAGTAAGCCTCGCAGTCTCCTGTGTCACCCACAGGTCCGCAATTAGTTCTGGAGGCTTCCAGGAGCAACGATTCATAATGTTTTGTTGGACAACGAGGGAGCTGGAGGGAGGTGGCTACAGAAATGGCTTGGAGGTTGCATGGGGCTGCAGGACTGCACTTTGCCCACCGTGAACGCTAAACTACGGTTTTAGCGTTGTGTCCAGATGTAGCTGTTGTCACACGTAGCCAACGTGGCAGAAACCTTCTGATACAGTCAAATGGAAATGGAAAAATCGGGACATAGAAGTGATTTGTTTTAAACCGTCCCAGGGGCCGTCAACCCCCGGTCCGTGGCCTGGTATTGGTCCATGGGCTTGCCGGAACTGGGCCGTGGATACGAATCTCCGTGCCCCCTTGCTCGCCCACATGGTGGGTGTGTCGCATCCGCGGTGGTCGTCGTGCTTGCACGGGGGGCATGTCACGCCTGCAGGGGCGTGTCACGTTCACACAACACCTCCCCACAAGTGCAACACGCCACTGCATGAGCGCGGAGTTGCCCCCCCACGCATGGAGTTCGCTCCCCCCCAACCGGTCTGCGGCCCCAAAAGGTTAGAGACCGCTGCTTTATGCTGTAGATTTACTGAAACCATTTTCAGATATTGCAATAGTGAGGTTTTCCTTGTCACTGGATTTCTAGGCTTCACAACGAAGTAAAGTTCGGTGGGCTGGAACTCGAACTCGTGGCAGGTGGAAATATTCAAGCAACGAGGAAAGTGAGGCTTCAGAGAATGAAGAAGGCTCTGAGGAGGAGGAGGAAGAGGAGGAAGAGGAAGAGGAGGAGGAGGAGGAAGAACCTGCACCTGCTGATGATGATGAGCCGTGCAAGAAGTGTGGCTTGCCTAATCATCCAGAGCTAGTAGGTGTTTGTCCTTCAGAACAGTAAAAGTAGAGAAGTC